ATTGAATGATATAGTTGCGTCGTTACGGAACAGTGTTACGTACGGCTAGCGTAATGGGATACTTACAGGTGGTATACCATTATTTATCCAGCCCTCAATGAAGTGGATACGTGCCACGAGATCTTGCACCCATGATGCTAACGGCTTCAGCGACGGATACGCCTACGTAAAAATTACACATTATCACGTACTGAAACGCACGTTATATACAATCTCACTAAAAGAGCAGTACCCTCGCAAACGTCCAAATAGTCTATAACACATATCGTACTTGCAAAATTACTGGACGTTACGTTATAATTACGTTTACGTTAGAAGGACAAACACTAAGTACGTCGCTTCGTCAAATATTACTATGATATAAGACAATTGTAAAACAATGGAAGTTACGTAAGTACGTGTACGTTACGAGTAAATATTGCGCCATTACGTCGAATAAATGGTGAGTGAGTGTGTGTGCTAAATACAGTGTTTATTAAACATATATATAGCTGTCTTTTAAAAAGCGGAACCGCAATCTCTTTTACATTTATTTAGAGTTTATAAACTGACATCTCGTGTGAGAAGTATATAGTATTTTCGCTGAGCATAGAATATTTTATCGAGAAGCACAGTGTTCAAATCTAGCCCCACCATCCCCTCCCTTGAAGTTCAAAGTGTCTAACAAACATTATCTACATACCTTGCTGGCCCACATGTCAGGTACGCTGTTATTGAACAAGCTATTTGACATGGTCTCCAAGGCCTGTGACATGACAACCAATCCCTTCAAAGCCTTCAGTAAGTCATTGAGTGTCTGTCTAACAGTGGACAATAGCTTATTGTATCGTATAACCTCCTGTACAAGGACAGTGTTCATTGACTCCTCATACATCACGGGATACTTTTCCATTATAGGACCAATAGGCATAGGCTGCGGGACGCTCTCGAGGATCCCGCGGGCGGACTCTTCCATAACCTAGGATAGAGGTGAAAGAAGATATTAGATTTTATTGAATGAAATGATCAAATGCATTATGCCTCATAAATCACCATTATCATTGAACAAGCTAGTCTCCTCTCGCAGCCGTTAGGACGTTCGTTCCCAGGTCACTCCCCCCTAACGGCTGCTTCAGTTGGCTGAAAATTCCATTCTCGGGGATTGACCAATCAGAGCATTGCCTTCCTTCGTTCATGAGTATACAGTCAAAGCAAGATTTTTTCTCTACACATGAATTGCTTACTTAATTTTTTTTCGTTCTGAAATCATACCTAGTAGTCCTTTATAATGTATCGTACAGTTTAACATGGAAAACCAAAGAATTTGATTTTGGTTTTAAATTACATAGTAGGAGAGCATCTATCGTACCAAAACAAAAAACAAAAAACGTATAAACGATTTTTGATGAAAATGCATGGGCTGTAGCCCATCAAAATGGCCAGAAATGACCGAATTCTAATGCATGGGCTAAAGACCTCCAAAATGACCACGGTTTGAGGCATTTTCATTATAATTTTTTTGGGGTTCAAAACCTTTAATATATTGCATTTTTAAAATGTATTTCTCTTCCAGAATTTATCGGTTAAAGATGAACCATTACACTATACATATCACTAAAATATGTCGGAAAATACATGGACGGTAAAAWAAACATATAACTAGACGCATAACTGCGTAAACTCGGGGTTCTTGTTGATAAAATAGTAGTGAATTTGGTAAGGCTCGTTTACACTTGCGTATTTGCCATATATTTACTATATAATTCGCTTTTGATAAGATGGTAGCTAGTTTGATAGACAATTCATGATATGCAGTAATATAAATATCACAATTTTAATAACTTAAAAGTCATTTAGAGAAATTAAAAAAACATGAACAAATATCAAGACAATAACAACAATCTTATTATGTCATTTTACATGTAATACCAAATTAAGATAAACCTCTTTTGACAGATTCGATGATAAACAACCCATCTTAGCTTTCTACTTTTGTTATGTAAGCGTCTTAGAAATCGTTTTGGYATCCTACTGGGCTCACGACTACGACTACAACGTACATGTCGATAATTATAATAAACAAACCTTGAATAACGAGATTTTGTAGTACTTGTAATGTTTATTGTAACTTCTGCATCATTGTATACACCATAAACAGTCATACAAATAGTTTTATCTAAGATATCACAATCACTAAACGATGAAGTGACAATATTTTGAGTGTAGTCATGTATCGAGGAATTGGACTGTATTGAACCCTAATAAAGTTAATATCAATACTATCATAAGGGTAAAGCAAAAAATATTTCCTTGAATGAAAAATAATAACAGAAGCAATGTAGTTAGCATTAAGGAAGTAGTCTTTGTCAAGCTCTCCTCACTTTGATAGTCACGTGGCAGGCTATAAGACAGAGTCTTTTATCCTCTCTGCTAAATAAAATAGTTGCAATCGTCGGTTTTTCCTCAGTGAATTCTGTTCGCATTCCTTAGAGAAGTCCTTTGTATTTTCAGAGCCTGTAGAATCAGTTAGTATAGAGTTCGCTTTTGATAAGATTGGTTCGAATTTCACGATAAGTTTCACGATAAATTTCAAGATAAATTCGCGGTATCTCTCAAAATGCCCTTTCGAAAAACGCTCGACATCTTTTAGTGTGGCTATACGGCGAATGGTGTGTGGATTTGTAAGAGATTTGAGCGTGTTTGAAGTTGAATTCATGTCTTCCATCTCGTATAAAGACGACACCTCGACGACACCATAAGATAGCACATGGAAGTTGTGAATGTCACGTGATTCGTACCCAGTGCATTCTAATTTGGCCGAGACAATTTGTGTACCAAATGCGACTACCACTACCATGACAAAGAAGGCCGAAACCTAAACTCGGCGGTTCCACAGTTCCGTGATGTCACTTCGATGTTTTTTTTTGGGGGGAATACGCGATGACGTACACTTTCAAAAAAGCGATAAAAAAGTGAAGGTCTCCGGCTTCATTTTAGAGATAATTCTTGCACAAAATCGCCAAAATTGGCAAAGAAAAGCGCGCGAAAAAAGGTCGATGCCGTCTGCCAAAAAAGCTTTGGACAAATATAAAACATATTTCAATTGATCCAAAATTCTCCCCAAAAGCTGAGGTCGATAATTGTTAATATTGTTTACGTGGGCTTCCTTGTGCATTGTTTAAAGTAATAACAAAAGTTTGCTTGTGAAATTTTTTCCATATTTAAGAATGCAACTTAGATTATTTTGCTAGTCCTGATGACACAGTTGGGTGAAGGATTTGCCTCTATGTCATTGCAAAGTTTGCATTTAACAATTGCTTGCATCCTTAAACTCTTTGAGTAAGGTTGAATAATTACACGAAAAAAAACTTTAACCACATTCGACGTCGACCCCTTTGTATATTTGAATACATGAAATGTCTAAAATTAGATATAATAAGATGAATAGATAATTCTGAACACAAGTATCGCAGGYTCAAGTTTACAGGAAAGTGACTGACTGACTGACTGACTCAGTGAGTGACAGATTCGTCCTCCTCCAATAACTCTTCGATTGTTTCGCAATCTTCGAGTTAAAAACGATGTATAATAAAGACACYGTCGAAAGTAATTCTGACATTGATAGAAGAAAAAGTTTCTAGCGATGAAGAATATTTAAAAWAATTTTCGAGCTATTTCTTATACATGTAGATAATTGTGTAAACAGTACATTTGTAGACTTCAATAAAAGGTCCCTTTTAATTCCCGGKACAAGTGGTCTTGAAATTTTATTTCTTTATTATCTAATGAATCCAAAGAGAAAGTCAACCCGAAATTGCTAATTAAGTAAATTTCTTGAAACAGATGTAGGTAATTATTACAGTAATATTATTATTATTACTATTATTGTTCTGTGTCGATTTGTTTTGTTTGATCGTTTTTAATTCATTTATCGTAAAACAAACAACAACAACAACAAACAGACAAACAAACAAAAAAGAAATGGTTGTAAACATGACTCAAAGCACGATCGCAGAGCACTAGCGGTCAACCGCCATCGAACTCACCTCCTCACGAGACCGTCCAGCGCCCGTTGATGACTTCGGCTGCATCATCAATATCCCATGTAATAGATTCTCAGTCTCATTCTGCGCGAAGGTAATGTTAGCATTGTCATGGAGACCAAATATCTCTGGCGTGTCGTTGATGGGTAGACCTCGGATGTAGTGTATATACCCCTGTAGGAAGAATATAGACAAACAAATTAGTAAATGGAAGTCCGTTTGAAGCGCTCTGAGGCGTTTACGCAGCGTTTGCCAGCTTGTTTCGTTTATTTCATTTCTTAACCCCCCCCCCCCCCCCCCCCAAAAAAAAAAAGTCGCATTGTGTTTTGTCGACACTAATACGTCTACGTATCGATTGCGTATTACGTTTACAGTTTTGTGTTAAAAAAACATCAATTGCTATTTTTTTAAGCCTTCTTTATACTAGCAGTAGCCACATGCAGTCTTTGACTGCGTATTTTTCCCTTTGAAGTACAATGAAAACGCTATGGAGACGCCTTATATCTCGTCCATTCGGGTACGTTATAGAACATCAAAACCATTATAGAAACGTTTTATGTATTGTCAATACTGGTACGTTTACACATCAATTGTACACTGCTTTCCATTTCCTTGAAGGTGGATATCAATACAAGCGGCTACGGAAACGCAGTACATATTGTCCACACTACTGCGTTTACGTATCGATTATGCATTATTTTTCATTCACTTCAAGACAAAAAGCATTCRACATCGCCATGGAAACTYATCAACGTGAGTACTGTGCGACAATCATATAGCAGATTAACGATTTTACGTTTTTAAAGCYCATACTCATCAACGRAAATCGTCACGTCGAACAGAAAGACCCGTTTACACTTGATTCTYGCGGCGATCGTCGCGCRATCATCGCMTGAGTTTCGAAMATGCTTGAAAATTGGCTGCAAACTTCGMGRCRAATTTTAATCGMCGCAACAATCGTASGGCTGTTTACACGTAMGATTCTAGTTGCMCGATTGCAAAGTGGCTATTATCGCGCTRCAAAAATCGCAAGTGTAGACGKGCCTTGACGGTCCAYTACAACGCTTCCTTGTTTCTCTACGTTKAACGTACCTCGTGTTCTGTTACAAGCGGTAACGCGTGGTAGATACCAGAAGGAGAGAACACATGTTTTTCATCTAATACTTTAGGCGAGTAAAACTCATCCAAGATTGTCATGATACATCGACGATCCCAGTCATCTGTAACACGGCCACCGTAGTTAATATGACCAGCGGTGTACTTCAGAACCTGCGAATWRAAATTTTTAAGGTCTTTTAAACTTAGACATTTTACGCTATAAATTTATACGGGTTTAGAGACCGGATTGCCAATCGTGCGCTCATATAAGACAGCTCAAGAATAATCTCATTATAAAGTACTTTGGAAGACGAAGAGCTAAAGACAAGCAAGATTCTTGCCTCTCTTGTGCTGTCTACCTCATACCGCGTTTATATCAGAGAACAAAAACATGCGAGGCCATTTTATATTTCTTAAAGAATCAAAACCAACCGTCGTAACTTGTGAGCCGAAGCGCCATTTTGGATTAACACGAAAATGACGGATTAGTAGGATTTCTTAAAGCGATCTCGAATCGTCTTCCATCCAAGTGTGGACAGAAATACCTAACTAAGCACTTCACAGGTACTATCAATCTGTAATCTATTGTATGCTTGACGCATTAAAACGTATGTAAACAATAACACGAGCGCGCTGCATGCATTGTGGTTGGTTGGGATTCTTTAAATACACAATAAAAATAACATCAAACAAGTTTTTTTTTTACCTTAAATGGGAATCCCTCGTACTCGTCTAAGAACATGACCAGCTGGCTTATACAGATTCTCAGATCTCCAGTAGTAAACTCGTAAGGAATATTAAAGCCCAACGGCCCAAACTTACGCCTCTCTAACGTTACGCCATGGAAGAGACACAACGAAAAGAGTAGGTACTTGAATTCCTCCTATGATTCATTCATGATAGTTCATTAGGTAAACTCAATGAAAATCATTGTGACCGCATCTTTATATGAGCAAGAGATTTGTCCTGATTTGCACACGACTTCAACTTCGAGTTTCTCTTACAAATAATAACTCATCTTGGATTTTTTTGGGAAATATGTTTTAACTTATGCTAGAATTTCTCGCTCATATTTTATAATACATAATAGATAAGTTCATATTTTCTTCGCCGTGAGCTTCTAAATGCCCACTATAATAAAATTACATAAAAACAAAAAGCTTGAGAATCTCTTACCAAATATGGCGGAGATATAAAATGCGAAAATCGTCGAGATTCACTTATTTTTTTACCTATATTTTGCGCAATTTCCTCCAAACATTTTATACTATTTAATCTCAGATACAATCATCAAAAGAAGACATCGATCGAACTAAGCTTTTCTCCTCCGCAGAAGTCACTAAGAATCACGGGCTTCCTGTCTTTTTTTGGAGACCAAACGAGGGAAAATGGGGGCGAGAGGGGGGACTTATTTCTTTCTTTCTCGTCACTAGTTCCTAGCGACCAAGATGACCAAAGGGAGGAGGCTAGAACTAAGCAATATTTTACCTTTTTACAAGACTTGTAGAAATCATCGTTAAATCCAACAAAAGACCTGAGTAGATTAGCCTTGATGCCCCTTGGTGGTTCAACAGTCATTTTGGATCCATTTTGTAGAATAGACACAGGGAACAATGGACTAGGCATACTTGTTAACCACAGACGAAAATCACGGTGAACCTATCGACATGTAAATAAAGAAGAAATCAAAATATGAAATTGAGTTATTTGTCTTGTCTTGTCGGAAGTTTCATGGTCCATGGCGACGTATCCTCCGTTTTTAAAGAGAGTTTTTAGATTCAGTTTGACGGCGAAAGCCAATTTCTTTAAAGCTTTTTTGGGAAATAAAAAAATCGGAATAACGTAAAAAGACTTCGAAAGGAACAATAATTTGACACACACGATAATAAAGTTGTTTATAGTCATGAAAAAGAACGGATCGTTGATGCTGAAGAAACAAAATAAAACAAAAACAAAAAAACAAAAAAGCGAAAACAACAACAACAACACCAAAAAAACAACAACAACAACAAACAAAAAAACAAAACAAAAACAAAACAAAGGGAAAAAAAAGAACAAAAATATATTCCCGTTTAGGTTTGACGTTTGGCGTTCTCAGCAAACAGGAATCTAAAATTATCACTACAGACATTAACCTCAACTAAAACATAATTTACTAAAAATAATAAAACTTTAATCTACAATAATCTGCATCCTTTTATTGTACAAACCTTGTCACCATCGATGTTTTCAATCAGTCGTTCTAAAGACGGCATCCAGCTCGGTGCTAAATGACAGTTTTGGAAGAAAACCCATTTACCACGTTCCATAGCCGATCTCATCATGGCCTCGGCACGTGGCCCCTAGTCATACAATAATAATGATTAGTGTTTGAACAGAAACTCGGCACATTATCGCCACAAAATAGGAATGCCAAGAGGACTAGAGTCGTACCCAATTGTTACTCTTTTTTATTACGCTCGAAGAAGCCGATGGGAAGAAAAGAGAAAAAGTAAGCGAAGT